GTTGAGGTCCAGCTAGCTGACACCCTGCTTGATGAAATGGTAAAGGAAAAACCTGAACAGGTAGAGGATCAGGCAGAGGTCTTTAGTTCTGAAAGATTACTGGAATTACAACAAGAAGTTCTATATCATAAAGCCTACTTGTAAAAGGAATCAGAATGTATTCCCAAGTGTTAGTATCTTAGGAATAGAATCCGAAGGTGAAAAATGGAGACCTCAGCAGGTTAGTGCGGAGGAGAAATGGACGGAAGTTCACCAGACGGTGTTACCGGTAGCATACAAAGAGAAAGCATTATGGGTAGCACACAAATTACCTGTAGGTGGTCATCTAGGAGTGAGGAAGACTCAGGCTAAGGTACAAAAGCATTTCTATTGGCCTGGATTGCATAAGGCTGTGGTTGAATTTTGCCGTACCTGTCATACATGTCAAATAGTAAGAAAGCCACAGACAGAAAAAAACCCAGCACATTTGATGCCAATTCCCACATTTGAAGAATCTTTCACGCAGGTTATGATTGATTGTGTAGGTCTCCTTCCTAAAACTAAAAGTGGGAATCAGTATTTGCTAACCCTAGTGGATGTGTCTACCAGGTTTCCAGAGGGAATTCTACTTTGGAGTGTCAAGGCAAAAAAAGTTGTGGAAGAGTTGCTTGCTTTCTTTACTTGCTATGGCCTACCAGGGAGATTCAGTCAGATCAAGAGTCCAATTTTACTGCTAAACTATTTAGGGAAGTCATGGATAGTTTAGGCACCAAATCCTTGAAATTGAGTGCGTACCATCCTGAATCCCAGGGTGCATTGGAAAGGTGGCATCAGACCCTAAAGACCATGTTGAGGACTTATTGCCAGGATTACCCAAATGATTGTGATAAAGGTATCTCATTTATATTGTTTGCCGTTAGAGATGCCCCAAGTGAATTGACTCAGTTTACTTCATTTGAGTTGATATTCAGACACAAAGTGGGCCTTTAAAATTAATTAAGGAAAAGTTGATATGTCCGAAGTCAGAGATCTCACAGTTGGATTATATATCTGAGGTGAAGAAAAGATTAAACAATAAGTGAATTAGCTAGACAACATTAGAAGGTGGCACAGAATCTAATGAAGCAAGAAGCCGATAAGAAATCTAAAATTTGTACGTTTGCCCATGGGGATAAAGTACTGGTGCTGTTACCAGTGGTAGGAGATCCCTTCAAAGCAAGGTTTAGTGGTCCCTATCAGGTTGAGAAGAAGTTAGGTGAATTATCTGGTAAAGATGCCAGATAGGAAAAAAACTTTATCAGGTATGTCATGTGAATATGTTGAAATCCTACTATGACAAGGACAGGGAACTGGAGAAACAGGTATTAAGTCACTGGCCCTCAGAGCGAGGAATCAAATCCAGACGATTTGCGTTTTGATGTGCCTCAAAATAAATTAAATAAATAATGAGACATGTAACTTTAGTCCTTAGAGAATGGGATATGATAATGAACTGTCTCAGGAACAGAGAACTAAACTGAAAGGCTTGTTGCAGCAATGAGGACATATGTAGGAATAGAATGCGGAGGACTAACATTACAGCACATGAGGTTGAAGTAGGGACTGTTGTTCCGATAAAACAACACCCCTACAGGCTTAATCCTCTCAAAGCTGCACAGGTACAGAACAAAGTGGAAGTGATGCTCCAAAGAGACATCACTGAGCTGAGTCAAAGCCAGTGGAGTTTGCCGATTGTGTTAGTTCCCAAACCTGATGATACTCAATGATTCGGTGTGGATTATCAGAAGGTCAACGCCATAGTTAAACTGGACTTGTATCCAAGGCTGGAGGACTACGTGAAAAAAGTTGGACAAGCCACTTACATCACAAAGTTGGACTTACTGCGCAGTTACCGGCAAGTACCTTTGTCGGACAGAGTGAAAGAAGTTTCTGCATTTGTAATCCCAAACGGGCTGTATTAATTTAAAGTGATGCCCTTTGGAATGAAGAACGCACCAGCCACATTTCAAAGACTTATCAACAGAGTTGTGGCAGGATTGACTAATTGTGCTGTCTATATAGATGACTTAGTGATCTTTAGCAATTCATGGAAAGATTACATGGTGCATTTGGCAGGGCTCTTTGAAAGACTACGGGAGGCAAAACTGGTTATAAATTTAGCAAAAACTGAATTTGTGAAGGCAGAAGTGAAGCTCTTGGAATACAATGGACACAAAAGGAATGTGAAGACAAAGGCCATTGAGGAATTTCCAAGATCATCCTCGAAGAAAGAGGTGCTTCCATTTTTTGAAATGAGCAGATTCTACTCGATGTTTTTGCTAAGCGTCAGTAGCGTGGTGGTACCTCTGATGGATTTGCTTAAGAATATGAAATTTCAGCGGACAGAACAACGCCAGGAAGCAATTGAGAATTTAAAAACTGCATTAACCATGGCACCAGTTTTAGCCCCATCAAATTTCTTGAAACTTTTGAAAGTCGCTATCGACACCAGCGACATAGGGGGGTTGGAGCTGTGCTGATGTTGGAGGATAACAGCAGAATTGAAAGGCCAATTGGTTATTTTTCAAAGAAACTCCATATTCATCACAGAAAATACTCCACAAAAAAAAATTATTGAGTTTGATACTGGCCTTACAATGTTTAATGTTTATGTTACAAATTATATTTTGGAGACGGTTGTGTATACACACCACAACCCTCTCACCTTTTTGGAAAGGAGTAAGGACAAGAATACAAGACTATTTCATCGGAGTCTTACATTATAGGCTTTTAACTTACAGACTACATATTGCAGGACATAAAAATGTTATTGCAGATGCATTATCATGGGTATAAAAGGAAATGTGTAAATAAGATAGAACCAGTACGGTCCAATGTTATACATATGCAGAATTAGTATGAGACATGTAACTTTAGATTACTGACCTACGTGCTAATGGCTTTGAGATTTAGAGAGAAAAAAACTGAAGCCATCTTTTCATAATGACAGCTCATTTCCTCTTAAGGGGAGTAAGTTGTGTAGAATACTCATGAATTGAAAGACAGGAAGATAGAATGTGTTTGTAAAAATAATAGTGGAGAGAAGCAATGCATGATCCCTTTAAAAGATTGTGCTTTGTCTGTGCTTAGAAGTTTGCAAGTACTATACAGAGACCTCCAAACTGGGACAAAATGCCTTACAGCTGGCAGGTAAAACAGCAGTCTTGTTTTGATGTTTTGTTAACAAGCTGGACTCAGCCAATTAATTTAAACCAACCCCTCAGTTAGTGAGAGCCAACTGAATTTTAAACTGATGGTTCTGACAACCTGAAACTAATCATATTATAAGAAATTGATGAGTCATTGGGGGCATATAAGAAGGGGGTTTTGAAAAAAAAAAAGAATCAGTGAGAGCCAACTGCCATCTGAAATAAAAGCAAATCAGTCATCTGTGAAATAAACCGAGCTCTCAAACAAAACTCATTAAGCTCCCTTTAAAAAAAAGGTACCATGGCACTTCAAGCTGTTCCTCACAGAAAAAATTACACAGAAAACATCCCCGACAGCAGGATCAGCATAAGGAAAGCTGGAGAGACAGTGGAGAAGGCAAAGCATTCAGAGGGACACGTTCAGTGTGAACTTTGAGAAACTAAGTTTTAATTTATTGTTTTTTTTATTACTTGGATTTATATAAGCGGGGCCTGTGTTTATTGGAACAGCATACGATTAGAATCTTGTTTTATAATGAAATAGTAGTTAGAGGGGAATTCTTCAGTTTGTTAGTAGTTCTGTTAATTTGTTCACTGTTAGGGTTAAATAAATAAATAGTTACTTGTTGCTTATGAAGTGCATATCAGGGATTCCTTTCATTTAATTACACTTAACATGACAAGGGACAACGAGAGTTACTCTGGATATTTTGCGTTAACGAGTAGAAAGGAAGTTCTACTCCCACCGAAACTGATTGGGGATGGTATTTTGGGTTAATTATCAGAGGGGTTCGACTTTCTCCTTCTCCATATTACAGATAAATACGGAGAAGCACTTTTCCTGACTACAGAGCAGAGAACGAGAGGGCACAGTTTCAGGATAAAGTTCAGCTATTTAAGACTAAAATAAGTTAAAACTGCCAGGTCAAAGTAGCCTGCTTAACTGGCAAACTATCAACCACCACTAGTGTGTCATCTACAAGATTCTTTATTCTTGCTTTGGACGTGGGAATCACATGCAAGTTTGGCATTGGCTGCCAATTACTACACTTGCCCTTGAAATTATTTGCTCTCTAGGCCATTTCAGAGGGTGGTTAAAGGGTGACCACATTGCTATGGGTCTGGATTCACATATGGACCAGACGATTCACTGTTTACTTTAAGGACATTAGACAGATTTTTAGGAAAGTGGTTACATGGTCACGATTAACAATTTATAATTCCAGATTTTATCAAATAAATATTTCACTATCTGGCATGGTGGGATTCAAACCCATGTCCCCATAACATCGACACCCTGCCACTGCATCCCCCAGAGACAGTGCAGCAAATAACCAGGCCTCCTTTAGCAGCAACTTCTGAGAGCTTGAGCATCTGGAAGGTCAAGGGCAGCAGATGCATCGGACAAACATCGCCAGTAAGATTCCCTCTAAGTCATAAACCAACCAGAGTTGGAAATATATTACCATTCCTTCACAATCAATAGTCAAATCCTGGATCTCACTCTACACTCCATGGATTTGCAGTTCCTCACTACCACCTTCAAGATTAGGATAGCCAAATAAGCTGGCCCAGCCAGCGATGCTCACATCTCATGAACTAATAAAAAAAACTTGTAATTCTCCAGTGTTGTAGATGCTTAATCAATGATTGTATTCAATGCCAAAAATGATTGATAACTGGATACCAAGGGAATTAAGGTCAAGGATGGGAAAGTGGAGTGAAATAGATTATCAACTCGGATTATCTTGACTGATTGAGCAACCTTAAGTGGCTGCCTGGTGACTCCTGCTCCTATTTATCACATTCTTACTTCTCACCTTCCACACTTACTTTGCAAATCCGATGAAGTCCTCGTGGTTTGTGTTGATATAGGACAGTTCGATGTCAATCAATAAAAGGATCTAGAAGAGATCAGGTACAGGTGAAAGCTGCTGCAAACATGTCCTTGGTGTATATGCACAACTTATTGATGACGACCAGTTCCCAAAGACAAAATATTAAATTGGGCATGTCATTAAGGGAATAATTATGCATGAGTACAGATACAAAAATGTTTGATATTTAATATTACTTGAACGCTTCAGTTTTGAAAAATTGTGGAAAATGGATTTACTTCAGTTTTATGGAAACACCTAGCTTAGTTTCTTTAGAAGGGGCTATTCAAAGTCTACAGGACCTTTTGTTCTTGAAAAGAAACAATGCTTCCTGTAAATCACAAGTTGATATCTGCTTGCTTGGCTATTTGGAGACGTGCTTTTTCTATCTGGTTCAGTTGGAAAGGAGCCTGGTAAGAACTAGCTCAGTTGGACTAAAGTCTGCTGAGAATGAGCCATGTTAGAGAAAAGCTCGCCAATAACAAGCTGCTCAACTGATTTTTCACAAGTTCAAGATGAAACTTATTTATTTTTTTTTGAAAGAGTTTGAAAAAACATCTCAAGATTTGTATTTCCTAAGCAGGCTGTAAGTGCAAGATTTCAGAGACAACAACGCATGATCAAGATTTGACCACACCTGCCATATCATCATAGCAACAGATCTGGAAGATACTGAGCTTTATAGTTTTACCTTCAAGAATGGCCCATTAGAATTGGGTTTTGTTTTTCAGAAAGCCAAACTCTGCAGAGAAATCTATTTCCTTTCCTTTTTTGAAGAGTGAGAGTTGTGTGTGTTTTGGGGATATTTAGACGGATAAGCATTTATACTACTATATTACTAACTATATGTTAACTAATTATTGCATCCTTATTGAATAAGTTATTTTTGTAATAACGCAATTTATTGGGCAGCATGGTGGCTCAGTGGTTAGCACTGTTACCTCAGTGCCAGGGACCAGAGTTCAATTCTACCCTCAGGTGATTGTCTGCATGGAGTTTGCATATCGTCCCCATGACTACGAGGGTTTTCTCCAGGTGCTCCGGTTTCCTCCCACAGTCGTGCAGGCTAAGAGGATTGGCCATGCTAAATTGCCCACAGTGTCCAAAGATGTGCAGGCTAGGTGGATTAGCCATGGTATATGCAGGGTTACAGGGATGGGTGAGAGGCTGTTCAGAGGGTGGGTGTGGACTTGATGGGTCAAATGGCCTGCTTTCACACTGCACTGAACTGATCGCCTTGGTAACTGGATAGAAGTCTTTTTATTTTGTGTTGTGACCCATGGAGCTGTCCTTCAGCCCTGGTTATGATGCTACATAGCTCATTATGCCAGCCAGCAGGTACTCACTGACCTGATCCTTGGTCTTTCCCTCCCGATCTCGGACGTGAGTGGTTACGATCCTCTCTGTCTCCTCTCGTAACCTAGGAAAGGAGTTGAGCTGCAGGAGGAGGAAAGCAGACAGCACTGCAGTTTTCTGGGGTCTAACTCAAACCAACAGTCACAAATAGGTCAGTACAGTGAGAAGGAACCTGACCAGCTGCAGATCAGATTCACTGAGAAACACAGCAAGCTCATTCTCATCACATCACCAGACAACAGAAACCAGCCACAATGGGAGAAAGCTTTGATTAAAACTGCATTTGTTGCTGCATAAAATATTTAAATGGAAGGGATTAATATGGGTGATGTTCAGCTTTATTCAAAGATTCATCACAACCAAAGCAAACAGCTAGACAGCAGCCCGACAAGACGGAGCTGAATGAGCATTAAGGACAGCACGTACACACTGAGCAGGCAGACTGTGGGACAGACAGTATCAAGTAAAAGTTTAGCAACAATCTCTTGGAAACAGTGACCCAAGCCCAAACTATGGGAACAGGCAGAACAGGAAACCCTGGATCAGAGGAGTTATCAGCAGCAGAAATGAGCCAAAGCAGACTGATTGGAGAAACTAGCAGCAAAGAGAATAGCAAGTGGTCAGGCAAATGAAGAGGATGATGTCTATCAACCTGACCATTCAGAAAGCTCAGTGAAGAGCACAATCCAGTTACAGTACTATGAGGCAGAACACACATTCTCATTTCACTAGAGCCAGGAAAGGCAAAACAGTTCAAAACTCAATGTGGAGAACAGAAAACACTCAGAACAGCAACAAATAGAGGCACCAGCCGAGACAGGATATGCAAAGATGGGAATTGTGTGAAGTGCTGATTCTGATTCAGATGAAACTTAGAAGCCCTGCATGGCATTCAGTGAACTACCAGACTACAGCACAAATAAAGTGAACATTAAGGCAAATTTTGGAGCATTCAAAATGGGAATGCTTAATAGGTCTAAAACCTGGAATATTACATTTCTACAGCTCAGTTACTGAAGTAACTCTATGCTGTCAAGGAGTAGGTTACAGAGCTAGACCCCTGTCGGGTGTATTGAGTCTGCATAATGTAGACAGGTTCACCTGCTATTGACTCTCCCCCTCCAACCCACCAGGCTTGGTTTCTTGAACATCCCACCCACCTTAAACCCTGGGTTCTCGCTCACCTACAACCCCCCCCACCTACCACCCCGACAACCTTACACCCTGGGTTCTCTCACTTTCCGTGCCCCCCCCGCAATCCCACAAACCCTGTCCCAGGTTCTAATTTCACCTTCCTTTGTGCTCCAGTCGATGACCCTTTACAAATCCGTATCACACTGGCTCACCTCCTCTCCCTCCACGAACATGATGGGACTAACTCACTGCTGCCCCTGGGATGTGAAGCCAGCTTCTCCAGGAAGTCATGACTGTGGCAATACCCTCTATCAAACAGTGTGGTCAGTGACACTGTTCCCTTTGTATAATCGATTGGGAGAATCACCTGCTTGAAGGTGGTTCAAGATTGAATAAAGGAGATGAGGTGTCCCTGTGGGCAGCCTCACTAAGTAGCTCGATCATTGATGGAGGGTCCCACATCAGTTTCAATGCTATCATACCTTGTCACTACACTTTCTGATGACAGTCGCCAGTTCAGAGACCACCATATCAATGCACTTCAGGCACGGCTCCTTCAACTTGTGCACTTGCTTTTTCACTATGGCTTCGAATGCCATGTCTGGGGTGAACAGCCCCGTCCTACAAAGCAGTACAGAACAGAGAAAACAGGGACGAGGACAGGATTGGGGTAATGTGGAAACAGAGGCACCAAGATAGCGCGAGCAAGAGACAAAGTGGGGGAGGAAAAAACAAAAATAGACAGAGAATGCAAGAGAGTTAGCATGTCCATCACCAAGATCAGCAAACTGAACCAAGGCATACTGTGTCAGCACTGTGGGTCTCAGAAAAAGATATTGTGCAGGCTTCAGGAATAGGGAACAGTTTTGCAGTTAAATACTGAGCTCACTTCCCATCACGAACATTTCTTTAGCTGCTCAGGTGTATCAGAAGGAAGCAATCCAGCCACAAACTGTTTCCTGGGAGTGGAGAGGGGGCAAACTTTCTTCAGCCTCCAATATCCACATAATGAGACAGAGTCTGAAGTGGGGAGAGTGCCACAGGACACAAGGCATGCTGCACCCTCAGCCAAGCCTCTCCCCATCGTCTGGAGCCTCAGTACGACTGGTTCAAACACAGATGTTATAAAAACTGATGCCTAGCCCAGCTCTCAGCACTCACACAGGGCCCAGACTGCTCAGTTTGCTTATCCCTGCTTAGTAATGCATGCAACATCGTTTTTGACAAACCATTATAGATACTGTGTGTTCCTTTAGCTTGGATTTTTTTGGGGGGAGGTGGAGGTCCTCAGTGATTGAGCAGATATTAAATTCAAGCAGTTTGGAAATTAACAAAAAAATCTGGATACAACCAGAAGAATGAATTTGAGTCCTGCTGCCAGGAATGAATTATTTGGAACCTGTTACAGCAGTGTGCATAAATATTGACAAGGCAGCATTTGTAATTAGTCACTTCAGTAACATGACATCAAATTGGTTTCAGGATTGGATTGGCCTGGTTAAAGGTCTCACTGACTCAAACTAAATAACTACAACTGTTGGACTAGTTCCAACAGGCCTTAACATACTCTGCAGCAAAAGAATATCAGAACTACATCCCTTTACAACCCCAACTATAAAACTCCAGATGATTTCAGTCACTCAACTGCGACAGCAAGGTATTACCTGCGTCACTTCAGGGTAAAACCAGCATTTTTCCAAAAAGTCCCAAGGGCTAGGACAGCTGAAGGAACACACAGCCAATTTAATGTACCACTGTTTTTGCAACAACTCCCAAATCGGTACCAGGACCAAATATGTGGGAGGTTGAACAGTAAATTCATCAAACTAGCATCATCCCAACACACAAAAATACACAATCCCTATCAACACTTAGGAAAAGTCTTTCAGTCTAGTTTCTACAGTAAAACACACATTTAAACTGTACTACATCTCTATGCATTTAAGAAGAGGACAGGAGCACCAGCAAATCGTGTGGAGCTTTGTCTAACCATCAGCACCCATTGCCCCCACACATTACAGAAGGGCATAGGCAGACAGAGGAACTAGATAAACAAGGAAAGGGTAGGGAGTAAGGAGAGAAATGTGGGTTGTGGGGGATGGCAACACAAACAGGATTGAGTGGGGATGAAGGAAGAAAAATACCAGAGTAGGGCCTGAGCGGAAGAGAGGTACAATAAATAGCCCAGATCCCATCTCTCTCCCTCCCTCCCTCTCTCTCTCTCTTTCACTCCCCCTCTCCCTTCTGTCTGAAAGGACGTCCTGTTAACAACAGTGCTACACCGAAAGGACTGATTGACTTATGCTGCTGACTTGGCTCTTTCATCCTCTGCCATCTCCAACTAAAAGCTGCCCACACAGTGCGTGCCAGGGCTCGTGGCTGAGGCTGTAGGTTGGTACAGCCACATGTTTCTCGCCCATGCCCCAAGTGCTCCTCTCACCCAGCAGACAGTTTAAATGTTAGATCATGCATACACAATGACACAGTTTAAGCTGCTGGTGCAAGGCGAGCCTCCGAGGCAGAGATACCTTGAGTGTGCACTGTCTGACAGTGTTTACCAACTCCTGGATAACCATGTCCACACACTTCAAACACGGTGTTTTCAGCTTCACCACCTGCTTTTTCACTATTGCGTCAAATGCCAAGTCTGGGGTGAAGAGCCCCGTTCTACAGCCGGGGGAAGGAGAGATAAAAAGCAAAACAAAAAAGGGAAAAGCAAGTCAACACAACACAAGGAAGAACACAAGACCCAGCTCAGTGTCTACAAAGCATCTATTTGGAGGTTGACTATTTCCCAAAAGTCCTGGGTTTTGGTTGTATAGGTGGGTCATTCTTAGGAGATTGCAGTACAATTATTTCACCATGTCTGAGGTAGACCCACCACATGCACCCCTATCAGCAGGACAAGGACTGGGATCATCAGACACACATACATATGGCCAACAGGAATTCAGGGCAATTAAGACCTTTAATTGGATTTAAGGAGCAGTGAACAACGAAGCACATCACCAGACTGCAGAGACATTCCAACCTCCAGAAAGACACTCCCCAGGATGCACTGTATATCCTGCCCCACACTGCCCCACTCCACCTAGGGACAGTGTCCGGGTCATTCAGTTTCCTAAAGTTTCTGATTCCCACCTCATCTAAAAGCCGAGCTTGCACCAGGTCAGATCAAAAATGAATTGTTAAACGAATAAAGCCAACACAAACAGTGCAAATATAAAAAAGGTGTTAAACAATTAGAAGAGGTGAAGCATGGGAAAACTTCCACAGATTAGTTGTCCTCAAAGCCAACGAACAATCAGAACTAAGTTTGGAGCAACATTCCCAACATAGAGCTCTGCAACTCCTTCCTGAACCTACTGTCACCTTCAACAGTGTTCACATAGAATCATTCTACATGGCACTATACACAAAACTTTACTGCGACTGAGAAATTTAATTGGAAATATTTTAGTTGAACTTTATAAGTCACTAAATCAGTAAATCTTGAACACTTAAGCAACAGATGCAGTCAACACCCTGTTCAAACAGCAACACTACACTATACACCATTAATGAGTTGGCAATGTTCCCATTCCGTGACTTGGGTGCATAGACACACAGGCCATGTTTAACTTACATACCACACAAATAAATTTAATGCGATAGTGTACTGAGAAAACCAGGCACAGACAAAAAATTGTTTTCAAGGGAACCCTGGGTCAGAACACTGCAGCATTCACTGTGTAGACAGTACACTGGTGCGACTTGTTCGAGTATCCCACCTGCTGTGCAGCTTCTGCTCCTTTTACTCTGGTGTAGAGTGTGAAAGTAAGAGCTTCATTCACATTATCCTCCTTCAACTATTGCAATTCATATGGCCAACAATACTTGCCTGACACCATGGATATTTTTGATTGCGTAGCTGATTTCTCTTCGCAGCTCTTTTTCATCAAATTCCATCTGTACGGGGAATACGAATCAACAGTTACAACCATAAGCAACTGAAAGATAAAGAGGAATTCACATTGATAGAGTACACTTAAGATAACCATCAGTCTTTGTCTCCTACCGTCAAGATAACTATCAACACTCCTTGCTTCCCCCCAAAAAATTGCAGGGTCACCTCACCTTCACTAGCTCAAATGGGAATCGCTCATGGAAGATGCGGTTAATTCTTGCACCTCCAGACAGTTCCACTGTATCCACCTGGTCACCCGAGCCTTCGATTCTCTTCTCAAAGTCCACTCCAAATTGCTGCACCATCCTAGGGGCCAGAACACCAGTATTGAAAGAGAGACTTATAGTTCCACGCACTATCTCAATTGCTTGTAAATGCAGTGACTTTATTTAGGCAAAAATGACAGCTGCTTGTCACAATATGCTCTTATAAATACCAATAAGACTAAGAAACTATTTTTGGTGTGTTAGTTAAGGGAGGAATGTTGACCAGGACACTTTCTCCCTTAATGATGGTGCCACGCAATGTTCACCTCACCAAGCAAGTGGTGTCTTAGAAAGACCAGCACCTCAGTCTGTAAATCTCGATCTAGATTATTCTGGAGTTGGACTTGACCCCACAACCTCCTGACTCACTAACAGAAAACATGAAACTATTTAAGGCACAAAAAGAAGTCACATATCCATCATTTTCACGTCACCAGTCATAGAATCCCTACCGTGTGGAAGTAGGCCATTTGTAAAACATCCCACCCAGACCCACCCTCCTAACCTATAACCTCCCATCCTGTAACCCTGCATTTTCCCACAGCTAACCCACCTACCCTGCACATCCCTGGACACTATGGGCAATTTAGCATCGCCAATCCACCTAACTTGCACATTTGGACAGTGTGAGAAAACCAGAGCACACAGAAACTGGGAAAATGTGCAAACTCTCCAGAGACAGACAATTGCCCAAGGGTGGAACTGAACCTAGGTCCCTGGCACCGAGAAGCAGCAGTGCCAGCCATGGCAGAAAAGCAGAAAAGGTTCTCACAGCTTGAGCTGGAGCTCAGAGATAGACAGCTGCATCAAGGAAGCAGATGTGCTGCTTGAGAGTAATTATATAGCACAACATGTAACTTCACCAAGTGAGCTGTAGTGTGCCTTTCAGCAAACTGTGAGCAATGTCAGTTTCTGCCCAAATACATCCAGACATTAAACTGCATCCTGATGATCTCTATCTGGGTTGCTTCACTTGAGCATTTTCCCAAAAAGGGAAAATGCTCAAGCAACAGGACACGGAGGAGAGACACAAGGTGGATAACACAGGAGACAGAGAGAACAACAATGGCTAACTGTCCTTCAGTACAGTCCCTGCACTGCCCACCCAACCTGCTCCACTTACTGGAGGAGTGCCTTGGTTTTCCTGGTGGGATCATCTGGTCGAAAGTTTTTATATTCCTCAACCTCTTTCTCCAGGGATAGCATCTGACTCTGTAACTTGTTCCTCAGTGCGGGCAAGGTTTCACGGATGTGATTCGTCAATTGCTGGGTCACAATAAAAAAAAAGGAAAAATAATGAACAGTAAACTGCAGCAACATAGGCAAAAACTAGAAGATGGTGTTGATCTCATTTACTGGCCCTTTGCAACAGCCTCTCAATGACAACATTGCAAATAGTCCTCCTTCCCAAAATCTGATCATTTTCAACTTCTGTGCCACTCACTATGTTAGCAAAAGCTATTCAAGTATGTCTGGACATTTCCTTGACAGGATTAACTAAACAGCGTCACCACTTTCAGAGCACAAATGGAGGGTAGGGTCAAAGAGCAAGATATAAATATTGGCCAATCTCCAATTTCAGCACAAATTCATCAAGGCTTAGCTCTTGAGTCGAGGGACTACCAGATCGCAGTGCAGCACCAACATGGATCAAGTTAGTGACATGATCACAGTCAGGGTCTCAGTAACTGATCAGTACACCAGAACTCTGGCAGGACACTGCTGGTGTCATGTTCAGGAGAAATGCTTAGTTGAAGCTCATAGATACTCCAAAGAAATGAAATTCTGGGCTTTTAGTGAGCAACTGATGGTACTTTATCCCAGTGCAGAGTCATAAAATGTATTAAGGCATTCACAGTTTTTTTTTGGGGGGTGCAGGATGTGCCAATGACAGGCAAAAACAGTGTGGGAAGCATATTCCCACATAGCTTTGTAAATGCCTCACCTGGTTGAGTATCTTCTGTAAGTGTGGAGTCCCCATGCGATCAGCCATATGGCGGTACGAGGGGTGAGACAGGAAAAACTTCCTCTCAGCCGCTATGGCTGCACAGATGTCCTTCTTACCATCAATATCTTTTTGACTTCTGTTCACCACACCAATGTAGCCTGCAAGAAACAGGATACAAGAATTACAGCTTCAATACAAAGACAAGTAAAAATATGGCCGTTTTAGATTAGAAATAGCTCAAAAGGGTTTGAACTACTTCTGATCTTGGAACACAGGTTGTTGGTGCTGAAGATTCAAACACTTCCCATGTCATGCACCTACTGCCAGCAAACACTCTGCTTTAGGGACAGCATGGGCTAGGTACTGAGTAAATATGCCTATGAACTGTCTAGATCAGGCATTCCCAGGGTAGATGGCATAGGGTTAGACGCAGTAAACTTTTCTCAACGCTGCTATAACGTGTCTCAGCTCCAAACTCAAAGTGTCCTTCCTTCCTGTAGCACCTCACTACCCAGCCAGTGACTAAGTGAGTAATTCTGAAAAGGAGCCCAGCCGAGACTCAATCCTTCTCAGTAAGTGATGGGTTGAACAAACACCAATTAATGGCAGCACACCTTAAAATAATTGCTTAGAAGTACAGAACTTAAACATTGTTCAAACCACACACAAAGCTGAAGTTTTTTATTTAGCACTCATCAGGATTGAAATGCAAGACAAAAACTCTAGAAAGGGAACAATTTTGCCCAGCAAAGGAAACAGACATTGACTGGTTGGACTATGGTTGGTATGAAGATTGAGCAGGAACTGCTGTCTCATGTGTGTGAATAGATTGATTGCAGAGATGTTTTACACACCTCTGGAGCAGAAGGGACTTGAACCTGGGTTTTCCTGGCTCAGAGGTAGGAATGCTAATCAGTATATGACAAGAGCGCTAGGAACTGCTGTCTTAGTTAACCGGTTAGATTCATACCTGGCAAGCTGATTCTGATGATCAGCAAGATGCCACCCGAATACAAAATCAACTGCTCATCTCCATAGCCCTTTCCTTAGTGAAAAGGAAAGCTGCAATTTGGGGACATATTCCCTTTGCTGAAGAAGAATAGGGTGCTGTGTATGTGAATGAACACAGTTCATATAGTCATCATCAGAGAACAGAGCATTGTAATATAATGGCTGAAACAAGACCTTGTCCAGTGGTATTTATGTATTGACAAGCTGAAAACTGCTGGAGCGACAGCAGGGAGGGGGAACGAGAGCAAGGTGTTGCTGAAACCTTTCACTTTGCACTCATCAGGGCAAGTGCAAGAATGCCAAATTTCAAGCTCAGAATCCCTACAGTCTGGAAGCAGGTCATTCAGCCCATTGAGTCCACAGCTACCCTGAGCAGCATCCCACCCAGATCCACCCCCTACTTATCCCTGTAACCCTGCATTTCCCAGGGCTAATCCACCTAGTCTACACATCCCTGGACACTATGACAATTTAACATGGCCAATCCACCTAATCTGCACATCTTTGGATTTAGGGAGGAAACCCAGAGAAAACCCACACAGACAGAGGGAGAATGCGCAAACTCCATACAGTCACCCAAGGGTGGAATCGAACCCAGGTCCCTGGCACTGAGAGGTAGCATTGCTAGCCACTGTGTCACCCTACAATCACAATCATTTATACAACAGGAGAAATGACAGGGTAACTGAGGTGCTGCCCTGGAGAAAGCCAAGAAGAGGTACAGGTTTCCCAAACATTCCTACAACAACAACAAAAAAAAAGAAACAGTAGGCCATTTGAGCCACTGAGACCGCTCTGCCATTCAATGTGACCATGGCTGATCCTCTATCTCAACATCATACTCGATTCTCTCTCCTCTTAATCTTCGACGGCTTTACGGTCTAGAAATCTATTTCTTCATTAAATGTATTCAGTGACTTTGCCTCCATAGCTTTCAGTGGTAGAGAATCCCACAGGCTCACCCCACAGTGAACAGATTTAGCTCAATCCAAATAGCCAATTACATATACTGAGACATTGACCCCTTGTTCTAGATCACTCAGCCAGTGGGAAACATCATCACTGCATCCAGTTTGTCCAGTTCCATCAGAATTTTATAATTGTTATGTAATTCAACCAAAGCACAGGATTTTACTTACACAGAACAGGTTCCTGTGCATGAACGTATGACAGCTCTAGCAAGACCAAATTAGCCACATGAAATGCTCGACTCGTTTTAAATTTGTAGTTGGTTTTAAATACTCAAGATTATTCAACTATCCAATCACAGGATTAAACCTAACTGCACCCGTTTTGCTCAGAGATGTGAAATAGAGTACTGTTGATCACAGTCTGTACTCAGCCTATCATTTACCCCTGAAAGTGTGCTTTTTGATTCAGTCAATGGGTATCTGGGGTCATACCCAACTCCATCTACAGCATCGCTCAACTATGTAGTGGGCAGAACATCTATTGGGACTGACAGTCTGCAGAAAATCCCACTCATGTAGCCGCTGAACAGCAATATGAAACCTCGTTTAAATGCCTGAAAGTCTTTTTATTTCCAGGGTAATTTGAGGTATATGAACATTGTTCAACTCAAAGTGAGGGTATTTTGCTCATTTCAAACGGTGAACAATGATCCTAGGTAAAGATCATATCTTTATATTCCATATTATTGATTGTGGACTGATATGGGAAAGGATTCTTAAAACCAAAGATCGCAGAAGGGATTGCTGCACTTTCAACAAGTTACGAAACTCTTTGTTTACAATCGGAACAGAAGTTGCTGGAAAAGCTCACCGGTTCTGACAGCATCTGAAGAAAAAAAATCAGTTAACATTTCGGGTCCGGTGACCCTTCCTCAGAACTCTGATTTTTTTTTCTTCACAGATGCTGCCAGACCTGCTGAGCTTTTTTCAGCAACTTCTGTTTTTGTTCCTGATTTACAGCATCCGCAGTTCCTTCAGTTTTCCCTTTGTTTACACGCTGCTTTGTGAAGGCAGTGAAGATGGGTTTTATTTAATTCGCTCATGAGATGTGGGCATCATTGGATGGACCAGCATTTACTGCCAGCCTCTGACTCACAATGACTTTAGGGAGAAATTTCACAGAAGGGCTAGCACCGGGGCTGGTTTTTATCCCCCACAGTGAGAATCAACTAATAGCTGATTAGTTTCTAGCATTGTGACTAGTTATGGATGACAAGGGCCATCAGCTGGACAACAAATCTGGTTCCTGGACAATTGAGTGGGTGTGACTTCCAAAAGGGTAAGTGGTGTGATTTTGTCTCCAGTTAAATAACTAAACCACAAGGGAAGCCAGTTTATTTTCCCTCACCGGTTGCTGTAAGTTGTGGCTTTTATCCTGTGACTATGAGACTTTGCAGTCAATGCACCAATCACTTGCACCGTCTGCAAAGAGAAAAGAACCCGGTGAAAAAAAAATGAGGCTGAAGAATAGAAAATCCTGACAAGCAAAAGGATTGTCTCAGTAAACCCTGTGGACTAGGGCCATTAAACTGCTTTCCCAGCTTTTCATCCCTGATAACAATGTCTTTTAATCTGTTTGAAAATGTGTGGGGTTTATAACGGGCTAGATTTTTAGCAAGAGACAGTAAGAACTGCAGATGCTGGAGTCAGAGATAACACAGTGTGAAGCTGGAGAAACACAGCAGGCCAGGCAGCATCTGAGCAGCAGGAAAGTTGATGTTTTGGGTCGGGACCCTTGTTCACAATTTCCTGAAACGTCAACTTTCCTGCTCCTCTGGTGCTGCCTGGCCTCCAGCTGCACACTTACCTCTAGATTTTTAACAAGTAGTGTTACACATCAATGACGCATGGCCTTGTACAATAGCTTGAAAGTGTTTATTTGTAATAAATGGTCATTTTTCTTCAGGACAGAAACTGTTGTTTCCTGTTACCTTGGGTCTAAAGGGACAGGGAATTTAGGGAAAGTAGCATAGATTGATCTGATCTTTAAATTTGGTGATATCTCCATGAACAGTGGAACTTGATTTTCAGCACACTAAACCAATGAGGCATAACAGTGATCAAGGAGGGTCACCGGACCCAAAACGTTAATTTTGCTTTCTCCCCACATATGACTGAGTTTTTCAGCAATTTTCATTTTTGTTTCTGATTTCCAGCATCCGCATTCTTTTGGGGTTTTTTTTGAGACACTGATCAAGGAGGCCACAGTTCCACAAGACAGCAATGACATACACTATGCGTGTCAAACTTGCAAGGTTAGCAAACAGTTGGAACACTTTTTACAAGATTTATGACAAGACCAACCCTGTAGCACATAGAACCATAGGATTCCCAATGTGCATATTGACCAACAATTTGGGCAAACTTATCAAAACCAAACTTATGAATTAAGTTCAAAGTTCAATTAATTCACAGAAATAGCCCCATTTGCCTACATTTGGCCCATATCCCTCTAATCCTTTCCTATTCATGTAACCGTCCCCAATGTTTAATGTTGTAAATGATTTGATTTATTACTGTACCTTAGTACATATGACAATGAAAAGCATTGTCTTACATGTTTTACAGACAGATTGTACTAAATAAGTGTATCAGGGTAACAGAACAGAGTGCAGTACACAATTGTATCCGCATCTACCATTTCCTTTCGTTCAACATATGCACCATCCTGTGTGAAAAAGTTACCAGTCAGGTCCCACTTAAATCTTTCCCCTCTCCCCTTAAACCTATGCCCTCTATTTCTTGACTCCCCCACCCTCAGGAAAAAAGATCTCGGGCTATTCCCCCTATCCAAGCCTCTCATGATTTTATAAACCTCTATAAAAAGGTCACCCCTCAGCCTCCGATGCTCCATGGTAAAAGTCGCAGCCTATCCAATCTCTCCTTACAACTCCCTCCAGTTCCACTAACATCCTTGTAATTTTTTTTCTGTTTCCTTTCCAGTTTAACAACATCATCCCTATAAAAGAGTGACCAGAATTGTATGCCTTCAGAACTGTGGCCTTCACATCTTGTACAACCATAACAGGATGTCCCAATACCTGTACTCAATACTCTGACCGATGAAGGCAAGTATGCCAAACATCATCTTCACCACCCTGTGACATCACTTTAAAGGAACTATGCACCTGCACCCCTAGGTCTCTGTTTAGATACCACTCCCCAGGGCCATACCATTAACTGCAAGTCCTGCCCTGTTACCAAAATGCGATACCTCTCATTTATCGAAATTTAACTCCATCCGCCACTACTCAGCCCATTGGCCTATCTGATCAAAACCTTCACTGTCCCCTTATTGTACTCTTAGATAAGCACCTTAACTATCCACTATACCAACAATTTTGGTATCATCCGCAACTTACTAACCACATCACCTATATTCTCACCCAAATCATTTATATAAATGACGAACAATGGTGGACCCAGCACTGATTCCTGCAGCACAATACTGGCCATAGGCCTCCAGTCCAAATAACAACCCTCTACCACCACCCTCTGTCTCCTACTCTCTAGCCAATTTTGTATCCAATTGGCTAGCTCTCCCTGCATCTATGTGATCTGAATGGCAATGCAGCATAAATGCCCATGCCTTCTTTTAGTGGTACATTCTAATAAACTTGCAACGTCAAATCAACACAGAGACAAGGTGTGGCTATTGGTACAGAAGTCATGTATAATGTTAATTAAAATGAAGGAATCCTTCACCCACATACATGGAGAACTCAAAAACTGGCAACAGCAATTCACTCAACCATCTGGCCAGCTCCTGCTGCACAGACCAGCCATTATGCAACATCATTTGTGTGCCTTGAACAGTCCATGTACGTGTGGATGGAATGAACTTTGGGAATGAATCCCATCATATATGGCTCAAGGCATCACATTACTCTTACACAAGTTAAATAAATGTTTTTGTAGCTTCTTTTGAGAAAGGCTAAGCAGTTGGGAATGGCAGCTGGTCCAACAGATACAAACTTGGAATGGTCATTAAGAAAAGGTGCGCATTCTGTCAAAATAATCACGTGTGTTTAGAATGAATTTGTCAGCTCCCCTAACCCTATCGCACTTACAAATATATATTGCAAAAAGAATATACTCATGTCTTATGCTTTAGGAGCTGATAGGTCCCCTGCTTTCCATGGCAACACCTTGGCCAATCAGAGTTGACTTGTCAACCAACCGGCACCCCTCTCTTCTTGTAATATTTGTTTGTTGAGGGAGTTTGAAAGTTAGCACTGTGTTTGTCCTGACAAGTGCAAGCCAAAAAACCTTAACGCCCAAGCCTTGTAGTACCAAGTAAATGTTGGCAAGTGTCAATGAAACATAAAGATGCACAAGTTTTACAAATGGAGACGGTGCAAAAAACAATTCATAAGCCATGAGAGATCACAGATACAAAGAAAAATTTATCAAGTCGGAATTAATATTTCTCTTAACAATACAGAAGGCCGGGAGCATGACTTGACAGAGGCCTATAAGAGTATGTAGGGACAGAATTGGGTAGATTTAGAGAAGATATTTCCATGTATCGCCATGACGAGGAACAGGGGCTGAAGCATTAAAACAATCAGTAATAAATCCCATGAGAACCTCAGGGGAAACATCTTCACCAGAAAGCAATGAAAACATGACACTTGCTACCACAGAAATAACATGGATACAGAAAGGGATGTTGACAAGGAAGAAAGGAACAAAAGGACGCGCTGAAGGAGTTACTACTGGGAGTGCAGCATAAACTCTTGCATTGACTAAATAAGCCGATAGGCTGTGCTTAACTTACCCCTGCGAAGAGGCAGCAGCCGGTTTTCCAGGATATCCCGAGCATCAGTCCCTTCGTCCATTAGATCCAGTTTTGTGATCACACCGATCACCCTCAAACCTGTGCAGAGGGGACAGCTTTAGAGAACATTGGTCATCCAGACAACATGGTATAAAGGGATTAACGCTCACGAGTCAAAGTTGAAAATGCAAACAATGAAACTTTTGCAGCTACAAACCAATGCTTAAAAGCAATTTCCTCAGAGCGCAATTTAAACGTCAATTTCAGTTCTTCAATCAACAGCCAGAGATAGATCTCAGCTTTGAACCTCAGGTCAAGTTATTGTGGGCATTTTGGTCGCAGAACTCCAGTCAGCTTGGCACTGACATAAAAAAAGCACACCAAAGCCACAGGAAACTGTCTAAAGTTGATCTCAACCAATACAGCCATAGAGCACAAATGGCTTCACGTTCCCAAAGGTGGGATAATTTGCTTCCCTCTATTACTCACATGTTCATCTTATCATCACTCAAGAGAAGCAGACCGAAGATAAATCTAGATTTTTTTAAAAACCGTCTATAACCCATTTACAGTCATATTAAGAGGAGTGCTTTTTCCAGAAAAAAGGCTGTCTATTCAAATCAGTCTTCACCTTACGAGAGGAGTGCTGGAACCAGGAGAGAAACAGACTTCTTACCTTGTGGGTCAACCTCCTTGGCAAGCTTGAGTGCATCTGAATTGGCGAGGTCAGAGTTCGCTGGAGTGACAGCCAGTATAAGACAGTTCTCTTTGCTGATAAACTGCATAATCATTTCTTTGATCTGGTGTTCTATGTCAGCTGGCTGGTCACCAACTGGAACCTTGGTGATACCCGGTAAATCAATCAATGTCAGGTTTAAAACTAGCAGAAGAAAGTGTAAAAGCTGAATTAGGACCATTCATTACAGAACAGCCAAACAACAATGTTGCTTGTTCAGCATGTGCAGATTTGAATCATCAGCAGCCCTATACGAAACTTCCGAGAGCTTGGTGCAGTTCGTGGAATAACAGGATGTGGGACCAGGAGGCAGCCTGGTGTGTCACGACCAATCTAAAGACCCACAAGATCCTGAACCCTCAATGTTGTCATCACTGGAACACCAAGATGCAGCTTACTTATGGCTTTACTTGTTGACACCGTTCCCTGAGGCTTGTTGTAGAAAGCAGCAGAACCAGGGTATTTGCCCCTTCAAGTCTGACCGCCCACTGTTCAACAAGATCATATCAGACCTGTTTATGCTTTGTATTACACATTTCCATTTACCCTGACAACCTTTGACTCCCTTACCTAACAAGAATCCATCCAGCATAAAAATATTCAATGACCCTGCCTCCAGCACCTTCTAAGGCACAAAATTCCAGAATCATATAATCCACAGAGAAAATAAAACCTTGTCGGCCATTTTAGAGTGACTGTTTTTAAAAGCAGTGCCCCTAGTTTTGGGCTTACCCACAAGAGGAAACATCCTTCCCTGGTCAACCTTATCAAGGTCACTCAGGATCATATACATTTCAATCAAATCACCCCTCACTGTTCTAAACTCCAGTGGGATTAAACCAACCTCTAAGAGACGATTTCCCTTTCACAAAACTATGCTGGTTCTTCCTGGTTACTTTGAGATTTTCCAAGTACCCAGTTATAACCCTCTTAATGATCAATTCAATGACCTTCCCCCACAATGTCAAACTAATTGGCCAATAGTTTACCCACTCCCCACCTCCATCCGCCCCTTCTTGAATATCCAGTATGACAGAGCATTTGCAGAAAGTAATGTATTTTGGAGAATTAACACAAGTGCTTCTCCACCTCATTTGGTCCCTTCTTTTGATGCCTGAGAATAAAGTCCATCAGGATCCAGGGACTTGTTAGCCACAGCTTCACTCCCACAGTAACTGTCATTTCACCAAGTTCCTCCCTCCCTTCCACTTGCTGATTCACAGCTATTCATGCAACATTTTTGATGTCCTCTAAAGTGAAGGCAGAAGTGAGACATTTATTCATTCCATCGACCAGGCCAGGGTTCAAGGCAGACAAGGGGCATGATGGGGAGAGCTGTGGAACTCAACAGACCAGCAGCCTTTCCACGGATGTAGGTGATGGTGGGGTGTGCATGCGCAGCAGTGGCTCCTGGGTCATGGCAGATGGACCGCAGCACAGCATGGTGAGGTGCTATATTTTGCCAAATTGTAACCAGCCCGGTCAGGGAGATACCGCAGCCCACTGTGTACATTATTACATTTCATGCAGTGTTCAACGGGGTTTCTGGACCCATTACCACAGCAATGCTAAAAGGGAATGAGGTTAAATGTGGACTCCCTGTACAATTGACAAAAAGAGGTCAAAGCTTTTGTACACAATTTCAATTCTGCAAGATCTCAAATAATCATCTCCTAGATTTGGATCAAGGAGACCTCACTCACCATTTGGAGAATGCACCCTCAAGTTGATAGGAATCGGCGAGATTCCTTTATTGCTCCCTGTAACTCTGTCAGTCTCTGCTTCGATTTCCTGTCGAACCTCCTCAAAATCTGTAAACTTCTTCCCTTTGCAGTGCAGAAATTCGGCATGTTCTGCAAGAGGAAGCAAATCATTATCTCGATTGCATGATATAACTGTCATGCTGTAACCATTCCTTTGTACTTAACAAGCCAACAATCAATGCCGACCAACATTGCATAGCACGCAAATTCCAAGCTAGATGACAGCACTCAGTTCTATCTGCTGACAGGCAAGCAGAATCTTGCAAGATTTTTAAACAGGTCACTCAGGACAGCTGGACCCGAAAAGGAAACAGGCACAGTGGAACAGATCAGTCAATTTGTGAAAGAGACAGACAGTAGACTCCATGTTAGGAGTTTGATTTTTAGCTGTCCTGTGGAGGGATTCTGTGGAGGGGACACAGTGAGTTAAGTCCCAGAAGCAGCTAGATAATCTGCTCTGTTAGAACTGAGGCCAAGTTCTAGAAGTTTGTAGACAGCTGGGTGTGGTTGTCAAAGTAGTCCTGGAGGTTGTGGTGGCTCACAAGATGTCAGGTACACCTAATATCTTAGTATAGTTAGGGGTGGGGCTTTTAAAGCAGGTAACAGTATTTGTTTTATGCAACTTGAGCAAGATTAGAGCTTAGGGAAGTACACACTTAAGACTAGCCTGGTGAAGCTAGCTGCTGCTGAGAAGCTGGAGTTGTATCAGTGAATAAGTACTGAAAGACAGGGGCACATGCACCAAGGGTGGGGATGGTGCATAAGTACGTGTGGCTGAGTATGTGTATGTCGGGAAAGGAAGAGAATGAGGGGAGATGATTGACCAGAACTGGAACAACTAGTAAGACAGATCATGATGGAGCAGCAGAGGGAGTTTCAAGCTAGATAGGCAAAACTGGAAGAACAGAAATTCCTTGTGAAGTTCAATGGGGTTGAATGTCTGAGCTGAATTGCTCAGAAATCCTTGGGATCAGCTTTGACCACATTTATAATTTGATGTGCACTCTGGGGTGTTTGATCACAGTCTATTCCCCATGTTAATCATATGTTAATTCTGGCTGTCAGAATATAAGTTGCATATGTATTAGAAATGGAATTATTGTTCTAATATTGTATAGTAAACCTTATTGTTGTTTGATATAAATCATGGAGCTTGAGATTTCATTCACTTCCAAGAAACTTCTGGATCTCAATATTTTTAACTTCAAAGAATAAAGGGTAACTAGCCCTGAACCAACAAAATTTATTGAACTCATCCAGGATATTGACAAAGTTGCAGTCTGCTCTGGCACTATAACAGTATTAAGACTGTAATTACAATGTGCAATCAAATATAATTAAATTCTCATTGGATAAACATAACAATCCAAGCCTTCCAAAAACATTGATCAAATCCCTCTAACTGTGCTTCATAATGAAATTAGACAGTGAGCTCATTGGTTTAGGGGTTTGATTCATTCTTTGGTTGTTAGTAGAAAACACAAGAAACAGGGGTTCAAAATTATAGGTAAGACCATAAGAAACAGGAACATGAGCAGGTTGTTTTGGCCCTTGAACCTGCACGTCCAATCAACAGGATCATGGCTGAACCAATATTCCTCTTGAACTAATGCCCATTTTCCTACCATTCCCCTGAAATCCTGGATTCCCAACTGATCAAGAATCTAACTCAGTCTTAAATATACAAAGACCCTTCTCCCACAGCTCTCTAGCAATGGGTTCCAAACACACTTGACCCTCACAAGGAATTAATCTCAGCCTTAAATTAGCACCCTTTAATTCTGAGACTATGCCCTCTGGTCCCCTCCATCGAGGGAAAACATCCTCTCAGCATGCACACCATCAAGCTCCTTAAGAATCCTGTGTTGCAATGAAATCACCTCTCATTCTTCTAAACTCCAGTGAGTAGAATCCCAACCTGTTTAGCCTTGCTCATAAAACACCACCCCCCATCCATTCTAGGGATCATCCTAGTGAACCTTCTCTGAACTGCCTCCAATGAAGTAATATCTTCCCTTAAATACGGGGACCAAAACTGCTCACAGTACCACAGATGTGGTCTCACCAGTTCAGATAAGCTCTTGTTTCGAAGACAGAGAGGAGAGTTTAAGGAATGAGGGGGTAAGGTCTGGATTCAGTGCAGGCCAAAAGCTGAAGCATGATTTAACAGGAAAGGCGGCAAGTGATAGGATGGTGAGCATTTTATTCTCTTCTCGCTCTCGAAATTCATTCAAATTAGGGGAAATAAAAACCTGTAACCTAATTAGTTAAACAAAACATAAGAATGGCAGGGCAGATGTTGTGTTGCAGCTATAGCACGTGGGAGCATATGAACACATAAGCCCAACAATCATATGTGCAATTAAGTGTCTGCAACTCAAGAAACCGTGGCTGTGAGTTGATGACATGGAGTCTGAGCTTTGGACACTGCTTTGCGTCAGGAGAGGGAAAGGTTACATGGATACTTTGTTCCAGAAGACAGTTACAAGCCTCAGGTTGTGTACTACAGATCTGGTCCATGATCAGGACAGGAAGTTGAGACAGAAAGTGCAGTTGGTATGGTATCCAGAACACAGAAGCGGAGGAGCCTCAGCCCATGCAATTTTCCAACAGTTTTAATGTTTTTGCAGTTTGTATGGAGGACAGCAAGGACTGTAGGGTGGATAGAGTCATAGAATCTTATAGCATTGAAACAGACCCTTCAGTCCAAGCTGACCATATTCCAAAACTAAACTAGTCCCACCCGTTTACACTTGGCCCACGTTCCTCCAAATCTTCCTATTCATGAACTTATCCAAATCTCTTTTAAATGTTGTAACTGTAGCTGCATCCACCACTTCCTCTGGCATTTCATTCCATATACAAATCACCCTCTCATAAAAATTAAGTGCCCCATGTATTCTTTTTAAATTTTTCTCCTCTCACCTTCAAAACATGATCCTAGTTTTGAATTTCCCACCGCCCTAGGGGGAAGACCCTTGTCATTCAATTTAGCTATGCCACTCAATTTTATAAACCTCAATAAACTCATCCCTTAACCTCCTTTGCTCCAGTTAAAAAGGTCCCAGTCTTCCCAATCTATTTTTATATCTCAAACCCTCTATATTCCTGGTAAATCTTTTCTGAACCCTCTCCAATTTAATAACATCCTTTCCATATCAGGGCGACCAGAACCACACACAGTACTCCAGAAGAGGCCTCATCAACATCTTGTATAATGTCAACATGACATCCCAACTCCTATATTCAAAGGTCTGAGCAATGAAGGTAAGTGTGTTAAACTCCTTCTTAACCACCGTCTACATGTGGCACAAATTTCAAATTTCATGTACATGACGTCCCCAACCCTGGTCTCTCTATTCTACAATACTACCCAGGGTCCTAGCATTAATTGCATACGCCCTGCCCTCATTTGTATTACCGAATTGAAATATTTCACATTTATCCAAATTAAACTCCATCTGCCACTCCTCAGCCCACTGACTCAATTGATCAAGATGAAAGAAATGACAATGGCACAGTGGTACAGAAACCCATTCAAGTGTTGGGTGTAAAAAGGAACGTAGTTCTGATAAGGGAGTATTTAGGGGGATAGATCGTTTTCTTTGCATATGAGACTCAGAGTCCCAAAGGCTGCTTTGCTTGTTTATTGCCAAGGATAGGGATGCATGCATACAGCTGAAAAGGAACCTGCGTTGGGAGGGGAAAAACAAATCAAGTGATCAAGGTCCACGCGTACCACTGACGTGGAGAGGACTAGGAACAAAGTTCGGCCAAGGGGTTGAGCAGCTAGGGGCTAAATTAGAAAGCAGGACCAAAAAAGTAATTATTGCTGGATTACTACCTGATTCATAACTGAACTGGCAATAAATTAAATAAGAGTAGAATTTTGAATGAGTGGCTCAAAGATTGGCATGAGTTTTAATTAATGAAGCATTGGGCACCAGTACTAGGGGCAGAAAGAGCTATATTGCTGGGGTAGTCCATACTTGAACTATACCACAATGAGTGCCCTAGCAAGTCAGATCACTAAGGAAGTAATTTTTTTTGGGGGGGACGTGGGGAAGTTAGAGGGGATTTGGTGATTTAAAGAGAAAAGAACAAAGCAATAGAGTAACGTAGCAATATTAGTAATGATAACCAGAATGTGACAGATAGACACAGAATGCTTTGAAGAAACAGTGGACTCAAAACTTTGTTTTTCCCTTCACAGACACTGTCAGAACTGCTGTTTTTATTTCAGATCTATTTCAGGGTAGATGCAGGAAAAACATTTCCCCAGGTTGGAAGATCTAGAAAGAGAGAATCTCAGAATAAAGGGTAAGCCACTTAGCATTGAGATGGAGGAACTTCCTCACTCAGAGGGTCATGAACATTTGGAATTTGGCTGTGGAGGCTCAGTCATCGAGTTATGGTCAAGAATATTATTTCTGCATTTTATAAACTTTAGAGGAACAGGGCTCATGCAGAAAGAATTATGAAGTAGAAGAGCAGCCCGACTTTCACTGAATGACACAGCAGGATCAAAGGGCTTAATCCTTCTCCTATTTCTCATGCTCTTAAAAATGGGATGATTGACAACAAAGAGAAATATGGCCGGATAGCCATTAGGGAGATGTAGCTGGACATTGACCAAGGTTGGGACTTCACTATTCAATGAGTATTTGACATTTGGGACACATTTGGGCCAATTTTTGCAGCAATACTTTCTGAAAGTGATCATAGAGCAGCCTATTTTAGACCTGGTAACACATAACAAGACAGGATTAATGAATGCACTCTGTGCCTATACACAACAATAAGAACATTATAAACTTCAGATTCAGTCTGAGTTTCAGAAATGTAGGTTGAAGATGAATAACTGAAGTTAAAATCAAACCACTTAAGAGTGACCCATAGTTCTCAACTTACTCACAAAACCCACCTTTTCCATGTCCACTTTGTCAGGATCATTCAGAATCTTGGAAAATTCAATCAAATCACCCTCTATTCTTCAAAGCACTAGTGAAAACAAGCCCAGTTTGCCCAACCAACCCTCGTAAGACAACTCACTGTTTCCAATTCAGTAAACCTCCTCTGAACCACCTCCAATGCGTTTGATTCTTTGCTTACATAAGGAGACCAAACTGCACACAGTTGTTAGGTGGTCTCATCAGCATCCTCTACAACTAAAGCAGAACTTCCTTATTTTTATACTCAGTTTGTCTAATAGTAAAGGACAGCATTCCATTGTCGTCATCTTCACAACATACATTCCTTATCATTGTATCATCTGCAGATTTAACCACCATTGCCTTTGATCCCCTCATCCAAGTCTTTGACTTAAATTGTAAAAAGCTGAAGCCCTAGCACAGACCCCCATCCCAATCAGATAACAACCTATTTATGCAAACAGTGTTTTTAACAGGCTAGCAAATCTTCTACACATGCTGGTATGCAGCCCACTGCACCATGAGCACCTATTTTGCACAATAGCTAACTTTTTTTTAAATGTGGAAGCTGGTCAAATGTCTTCTGGAAATCCAAGTAGAGCATAACAATGGGCTCCACCATACGTTAATTTTTCAAAGATCTGAGAATTCTATGACAACTGTCTCACCTCCCATCTCCCCAGTCCTGCTCACTTATTTTTTTTTTAAAAATGTGTTCACAGGATGTGGGTAGCACTGGCTAGGTCAGCATTTATTGCCATCCTTACTTGCCTAGGCGCATTTAAGAGTCAACCACATTGTGTGGATCCGGAGTCACATGTGGGCTGTAATCAGGTATGAATTGCATATGCCTCCAAAGGGAGATTAGTAAAGCAGATGGGATTTTAAGACAGTTGACTGTGGTTCACGTCAGTTTTTGTTATTGAATTTAAATTTCACCAGAGTCGGATTCAAACCCACATCCCTGAAGCTTCAGCCTGGGCCTCTGGATTATGGGTCCAGTGACATTACTGTTACATCACCACCACCTTCTTACAAGCACAAGACAAGAGTGTGATGGAATACTTGCCATTTGCTTGGAGAAATACAGCTCCAAAAACAATCAAGCAGCTTTTACCATCTAGGACAAAGCTGACTCCTTTACTAGCACCACATCCAACACGTTCCATAGTCATTCCCTCAACCACTGATGCAAAATGGCAATAATGTGTACTATCTACACTGCAATGCAGAAATTCACCAAAGTTCTCTAGACAGCACCTTCCAAACAACAATCACAATGATCTAAAAGACAAGGGCAGGAGATACACGGCAATACCTTCACCTGCCAGTTACCCACATTGTCATCTAATTGTTTTAAGGGACACCTAGGACCTAATGGAATAAAGAAACAGCTGATGGATATATAGGTTACTGGTTAACTGGGTTGAAGGGGGTTTTTGCGGAGTGGTAAGCTGCCTATGAGCCAGGAAAGCTGGGTTCAAGTCCCATCTGCTCCAGTGGTGTGTAATAACATGTCCGAACAGGTCGATTAAAAAATATCAAAACTGGGTTTGAACTGGTTGTTTCAACACAGGAAGCTAGCAATCAGTGAGGTAACAGTTTGATGGAGTGTGGCTACTGGAATAAATCACTCACTAAAAGCATGGACTTGAATTCCATTAAAATACAGTTCTCTTTTGGTGATGTGGTAAAGTCATTGGACAGAGGGCATGGGCGGCCAGGCAGCAAGCGAGGGGACCCCATATCTTCTCATTCCAGGTATTCTCCTCCTCTCTGTCCATAGATTAGAGATGGGCAATAAAACGTTGGGCTAACCAGCGACACCCAAATAATCCCATGAATGAATAAAAATGATAATCGAGCATTACGTGATACAAGCTGAAAACTACTGTTAAGACCACAATCAGATCAGCCTGGATCTTATCAAATGGTGCAGACTTACGGAGTCCGAGCAGAGATACCAATCTCTTGGGAACAGAATAGCAACTGTGTTGGAGGGTGCATGTTGATTCCATTCGGCCAACTAAACCTTAAACAATTCATTAGAAGTTACTGAACCGTCACACACACTTCTGCCTCCAAACTGTAGCAGCACTCTAAGATACACTTACCCGTTTTTGCATTGATGAGCTGCAGAACAAGCGGCCGGCGAGTAATAATTCCAGAACCACGAGGAAGAAAATCCCTGAAAATAAAGATAGCAATAAGCATTTTGAGACTGTCAAGGATTGTCAATCAAAAGCAACATCTACAGAGATGAGAAACCACTATCTGGAGTTAAGAATTCGGAGTATATTACCTCTAGGCTTGCAATAAAGTACAGAATCAGAGTACATTCCCTCATTCAGCAGAGCTTGATTAACGACGTGCTTCCATGCACAGGAGTAGTGTGGGGCTGAAGCCAAGGCTGACAGTAAACTTTAGTTGGGGGATTCAGCCTCCATTCACCTACGGGCATTATATAATCAACAGGCTGCTCAGACTGCGTTGTAACATTTGCTGCAGCTGGTCAATTGACTAGGCATACAAACAAATAAATTAGGAGTAGACTATTTGGCCCTTCAAGCCTGCTGCACCATTCAGCAGAATCACAATTTTATTTCATTCATTCATTCATTCACAGAAGTGGATGTCACTGGTTAGTTGTTGCTCATCCCTAACTGGTCTGAGGACAGTCAAGGATTAACCACATTGCTTTGGGTCTGGAGTCACATAAGCCAGACCAGGAAAGGATATGCCCGAAGGGCGTTAATGAACCGGATGGGTTTTTCCTGACAATTGGCAATGGTTTCTTGATCATCCAGATTTTTTTTTTTATTAAATGCAAATTCTACTATTTGCCATGGCAGGATTCAAACCCAAGTCTCCAGTGCGTTACAATGCTGCAATGATAATCGTAGGCCACTGCCTCCTATTGATCCAATTACGGCATTTGTTGTGTACCCTAACAGTAATGTAATCACAAAATCTACATCCTCCTTTCATGCATGGCAGATAGTCTCAGTAACCAAATGGATCTCTTGCTCTTTAAACAGCCTACATGAATGCTCCCTACCTACCACAAATGCCTCCCAAGCCCTCGCTGCGCTACTAACACACTAACCATCCATACTTCTAACCAAATCATGTTTCACTCTGCCCTATTACCTAGATGTGAGCCTTTCTAAAGCACCTGCCTCTGTTGCCTAATACAATCCCTCAGGTAACAAGCTCAGCAAAACAGAAAGGGAGCAGTTGTGTCTGTGGTGAACAAACAATTGCAGCTGTGAACTCCAACTAGAACAGCAGCTTACATCATATTTCTTTCAGCCACCCTCCTGTCCTACACCAGGCCTTGCTCAACACTGAATCCTCCTCTGGAAGTCTCATTTTCAACCAAATCTTCAACAGGCCTCAACACCTGACCATCCTGACTTGGAAATATATTGCTGTTCCTTCAGTGTTACTGGGTCAAAATCCTGGAACTCCCCCTGCAACAGCTTTGTGGGTGTCCCTGCACCAAACGAACTACAGTGGTTTAAGGCAATAGCTCACCACCACCTTCTCCGAGGAGATTGTTGGGGGGGGCAATAAATGCTGTTCCAGCCAGCCATGCCTACAAACCCTGAAGAGATAAGGAATAGCGTCTCTCATAGTGCTGTGCAATTGATCCATCAGCTAAAGCTCACATTCCTTTTCAGTTATTCACACAACATTCTCTTATCTTATTTGCAAATTTACTGTTGTCTCTGCAATACCCATGTACTGATTCTCAAACATTCTAAGACTACATCCAAGGCACACAATAATGTTACACAAGTGCAATGGCTAGAGCAAGTTCCCCAATTGATGCAAACACAAGTTAACAAATAATAACTGGTTCACACAGTTCTGGCATTGTCTTATTTATAAAATATTTTCCAAGGACACCCTGAATGGACAGTACATTTCCCAATCAAACCACTTGCAATGGGAGCAACATAGGAAATGTATTTCAAGTCTCAATGAGAAGCTAAATGTATTCAGGGTGACCGAATAGACTAAATATTGAAGAGGGCAGACATAAATTGTTGGCCCTTGGGTGGGGAGCAGGGAAGGAGAGCACGTAGCGCAATCAACATAAAGACTTCACAAACTACCAAATCGGAAAGGGGGGTTAAAATTGTTTCAGAGATAGTAGG